GGGGGGGGGGGGGTGACACAGAGGCTGGGGCTCAGCTCAGCACAGGAACTGGAACGCACAATGGAGCCCCCTGCCCTGACTCCCACTGCAGAGGGACAGGTCCCCAGGCCACATGGCCCATGACGCAGGACTAATTTCTGCTCTGCTGCTCAGAGAGCAGGAGAAAAGATACACAAAATTGCAAATGTGACACTAAAGTAGAAGGGGAAATTCCAGCAACACCTGGGGCTGGTACCACAGGCCTGAATCAAGCTCATTTCAGCCAGGAAACAAGATGTATCAGTTCCATTTTCTCTCTGATGTGGTCCTGCCTGATCACCAGCGTGGTCACCAGCATGGCCTGTCCCAGCACCGTGGCTGAGCCCTAGAGTGCGTGTGTGGGGTGGGGGGACAGTTGGCCCTTTACCCCCAGGGGCAGGCCAGCAGCCTGCCTCTCTCTGAAAGTCTCCCTTGCCTTCAGAGCCTCAAAACAGCATTGGCTGGGGTGGGGGCCCAGGGAGCTGGCATTGGGAGCAGGGGGCTCGAGCCTGGCCAGCAGGTCCTGCCCTGGCCGCTGAGGACTCACACAGCGCTTGTTTTTCAGGAACCTGGGCAAGTCAGGCCTGCGGGTCTCCTGCCTGGGGCTGGGTGAGTATGGGGGCCCGTTGGTCCAGAGCCACCCAGGGAAGCAGAGGCTGGGTGAGGGCTGAAGGGGGCCACCCCTGGGGGTGAGGAGGGAGCTGCGCCCAGAGCCAGGATGAGTGTGTGTCTGTTACCATGGTAACAAGGAAGGGGGGCTGCCTAGGAGAGGAAGGGGGATAGAGACATAGCCTTTTCCTCTTTCCCAAGATGTGAGCTCCGTTCTCGGGCCACGCTGTCCTTTCACCTCCACAGTGCTCACACTGAGCCCTCAGCACACGCGCATACACTGTCCAGCAGGAGTGGGGACCTGCCTGTTCTTAGGGAGAAGGCCCTTGTCTGCTCCCTGCAGCCTGTCCCTGGAACAGGAGCCACTTTAGCTTGAGCCCCAGTGAATGTCTCAAAGCCCTACGGCCAGCTGCCCGCTCTGGGCACTTACTGTCCCCTCAGTTTGGCGGCCTTAAGAGAGGGTGTTCACACATGCCGAGGACACTCATCACAGAGCAGAGTGGCCTGGTGGCCTGTGGCCATCCCCCTGGGCCCTGCCGTCTGAGTCCCAGCACCCCGGGGAGGGGAGAATTGGGCTCCCTGGGGAAGTTCTCTGACTTGAGCCTGTGCGTCTCCTTCCAGGAACATGGGTAACCTTCGGAGGCCAGATCACCGACGAGGTAAGACGGGCTCCCTCGTTCTGCCTGGCCCCAGCGAGGGCCGCTCCCTCAAGGCGTGTGGTAAAGCCTGTTAAATGCCTAGTGAGCCGGTGCTCCCAGTAGCTGCCACAGCCTCCCTGTTTCTCCAGGGTGCCCTGGCCTGGTGCCACCGGGAAGCCTGGGCTGCAACAGTGGCACCACACTTAGTGGTGGGTCCCTCAGGGCTTCAGCAAGCCCGGTAAAGTCCCAGGAACTCAGGTTCCTCATCTGCAGTGCGCCAAGAGATTTCAGGGGGTGCAGGTTTTCCAAACTATAAAGCCTGATACAATTCTAAGCTGCTCTTACAGAGTGTGTCCGGGTGAATTGGAAACTTCAGTGCATACCTGCTGAGGTCACTGAGAATGCAGATTCCTCTAATTTTGCTGCAAGATGAAGACCCAGCAGGTTTGCTCCACCTGGCTCCTACTCGCAGTTCCCATAGCTGTCGCCATAGCATGTGCCCTGCCCCAGAAGTACTTGCTGGGATGGGTGTGCACTGCCAGCGTCTCTGGTCCGTCCTGCCGGGGTCTGTGTGTTCCCAGGCTGCTGGGCACTTCGGGGCAGTGAGTGGATGTCTGGGAAACAAGAACAGTGGCCTTTGCTCAGAGAGCTCTGGCTCCTCAGGAAGCCATCTTCCCATTTGCCCTACTTACTGTCGGAAAGGTTGAGTTTAAAAATTAATATGTGATTTCATTTGAGGCCTTGTTAGCTGTGATTGCTGGAGTAGTTGTCATAGGAAAAGTTGTGCTTCCATCAAAATCTAGATGCATTTAATTTGTTTTTGTTCCTTTTTCTTGCTACGACAGCAGCGGGTTCGAGAACTCTTTGCCGTTGCTCTGAGGGTCTGGGTCTGGGTGGTCTCAGGGTGAAGGGGGGAGTTTTGAAGGCACAGGGAACTGTGTTCTCTGGCCACTAATTTGGTTCTGATCACTTAGACTAGAAGCTAGAGCCCCGGAGGCCATGTGGTTCATGGGAATAAGCCGTGCCTGCCTCGCCTGTTTCCCTTTCCACGTGGTTACTAAAGTTGTAGATGTTGTGACTTCATTTCCACATGGCATTAGCTGCACTGCCTGTGATGTCCCTGTGGGAAAGATAAAAGTGGCAGATGGTGACCATCCAACTAGGTGACTTTTTCACCAACAAATCATCTCACCCAAAGAGTACTGATTAATGACCCGATGGCAGCCTCGGCTGCCCCTGCCATGTCTCCATCAGGGACATAGTGACATGTATGAAGATGCTGGAAGTCATTTCCAGATGACGCAAAGCTGGGAGGACAGTGGATACAACAGATGACTGATTCAGGACTCCAAAAGGTCCTGGCAGGTGAAAACGATTGAGCTCAGGAGCAAGCAGCGTTTTCGTGTTAAATCTTACAGTTAGTGTCCAAAAAAATCAATATGTCAAGTATGAGGGGCCCAGCTCGCCCTGTTCAGATGAAGAATGCCTGGGCTTTAGTCGTCAGCTGGCTGCCTGCTGGGTCTGAGCCAGCGGGGTTGGCGCCGCAAGGAAGCAAGGACCCTGGTGGGCTGCAGAGGAGCACGGCCCACCCGGCTTTCCTGACGGATAGCCCCATCTGGAACTTCGTGTTCCTTGCTAAGCCCATGTCGGAAGGAAGGCACATGTACAGGAATCCAGAGGCAGAGCCTTGTTAGCCAGCGTGGGGCCTGGGCCTCTGGGCACCCCCCACCGGGCGACAGGATAGTGCCGCCAGCCGGCTGCTCCTTTCTCCTTTCAGATGGCAGAACAGCTAATGACCTTGGCCTACGACAACGGCATCAACCTCTTCGATACCGCCGAAGTCTACGCAGCTGGCAAGTACGTGCCTTTTCTCGTGGGAAAAAGTGGTGCAGCCACGGCTCCCCTGGGAAGAGCCCGAGCTCTTTTCCCTGTGGCTCTCATCCCACCCTGCCCGCTTTTCTAAACTCTAAATGGCTGGAGGACGTGTTGTTTTCATGGGGCCGGACTCGCAGAACACTTGGACACTCGGTCATTTACTAAACTCCCCATGTGTCCACACACCAAGATGACCTCAGTCCCTTTGGTGCCAAAGATGCTGTGCTGGGTGAGGAGGGCTGAGATTAAGCTGTCAGCCGGGGCTCTCCTGCCGTGCCCATCGTGACCTGCCGCCAGCCCCACACACCTGACATTTTCATGTCTTAATAGTGCAATTAGGGCTGCAGGGAATCGGGGCGTCTGGAGCTGGGGAGAGCAGGATCTGTCGAGCCGAGCACTGTAGGAAGCCTTTCCCTTCTTGGCAGTGAACTTTCCTACTTAATTATGTAAAAGCCCTCCTTAGCCAAGGCTGCTGGCTTCAGTTTTAAGGACTGGCTGTAATCAAATCATCCACTCTCCAGCATCGGGGTTCCAAAAGTCAACTTTTGTTTGTGAAGTCATTTGTTGGCTCTTTCGCCCTCCCTCTGTCCCCTCCTGCCTGGGGAGAGCCACATTCCCATGGGCAGAGCTGGCTGTACTGTGGCCTCGGGGCCAGCGCCTGCCTCACAGGGCTCTGGGTTATCGCCTGCAGCCTGTAATGGGGTCCAAAGCAGCTGGGCCTCTACTCGAGCCCTGACTCAAGGTCTGGGGATCTGACAGCTCTGGGAGCCTCCACTGGGACCCTCAAATTTCCCGCAAACCTCATCAGCAGCTCACTGCCCCTCCTGACACCACAGCCGCTCTCAACTCCTCCAGACTGGCAGCCGTTTCCCATCAAAGTGAAATGATTTCCAGACAGATGCGCTACAGTGAAGGGTCAGAGGTGGGGAGGCCCAATGCAGAAGCCATGCCCACAGCCCCTGCCCCATTCCGAGCACCCTAGCCTGATTCCTGCCTTGTACCTGTGGTTTTGCTGTCACGAGGGTGTGCGGGGACAGCTCTGTGCAGCCTCCTGCAGCTGCCGATGGCCCAGCTCCTGTGCACACATTTCCCAGCAACCACACTCTGTGTCACTGTTTCCACTTCCCCCAGGGTGGGCATGCTCGGGACAAGCATACTGGATCCTGGGCAGCCGCAGGGCCTCTCGGAAGCCCCTTGGCAGAAGCTGAGGACTCGGGGAGCAGCTTCCTGTGGGTTGTTGGTGCCCCTACAGCCCACTGCCCTCAACCTGCCCTTCACTCCGCCGGCCTCTGAACCTGCCCGCTCACCCCCCATCCACCCACACCAGGAAGCTGGGCACTGTGCCAAGGGACAGGCGAGGAGAAGCTGCTCGGGGCAAGCTGCCAGGCAGCTCCAGGGGTGGTAGGCCAGCGCTGTCCCTCCCGCTAACCAAGAGTGCCAGGCGCATAGCTTCCTGAGTCCCCCTGCTTCTCATGCTGACACTAATTTGGGCACTTTCCAGAGAGCTGCAGGACTTCTGTGCCCTCACCAAATCCACGGCCATAAGCAACAGGCTTTGTTTAACTCTGTCTACAGTTCCTATAACCCCAGGACCACAGCTTGCTTCTCTCTCCCTCCTTTCCTGGTCCTTTGTCCCACAAATGAGGGACCAAGGACTAAAGGAAGAGGCCCAGGCTGAGTGGCTTTCTGCATCCTGACCACAGACGAAAGCTTTCAGCGTGTCTGCCAAGCAGCTTGCAAAGGAGAGCCCATTATTTCTGAGTGGATGACTCAGCTTTTATAGCTGGAAGGGAGCACTGGGTATGGATCAGCCTCTCCCAGTTGCTTTTACTCAGAAACATTTTGCTACAAGCAAAAAGTTCTTAAAAGTTAAAAATTAAAAAGTCAAATCTATCACTGCAGTGCCAAGCGGGGCTGGAACAGTGCCCATGATGCCGGCTGGCCCAAGTTTGGTGCAGGGCTCCCAGGGACACCAAATAGAGCGGACAGTGGTCAGCAGGGCATCTGTCTGTCCTATTCAAAAGCAAGAAACCAGAGGACACACCCACACACATACACACACACCCGCAAGCACTCTGCCTGAAACCCAGCCCCTGCCCTGAGTACATGTCGGCTGTCTCTGAAAACAGATGAATAATTTACCTTTTTAAAACATGCTTGTCTGGAAACTTTGCCCATGTAACATTGCCAGCACTTTCCCAGGAGAATTTCCAGTGGCCCCGGGGAACAGGATGCTATTGGCCTTACCTAGCGCGACTTTGGCTCCTTCCGGCCCTGCAAGAGCCAGAGCCACCGTGGCTCAGTCAAGGCGCGCAGGGACACGTGCCACAGCCACCTTCTGGGCGAATAACAGCCACTCCTCTCTCTGAGCTGCCCAAGCCAAGGCAGGCCTGGCTTTCTAGTCCCAATGACATTTCCCCCCCCAAGGGGACTAGATGGCCAGTTGTCATGTGGGGCAGGGTTTGATATTTTTGCTTCGCTGTAGTGAAATCTCCATGTCTGGTCTTTTTTGCAGGGCTGAAGTGGTTTTGGGGAACATCATTAAGAAGAAGGGATGGAGGTAATGCCTGCTCTCTATGGTCGGTGTCCAGGGCGCACACACAGGGAAGAGCCTGGAGGAGCCAGTGGGAGGGAAGGGGGCTCCTTGAGAGGCAGCCACACTCCGGGGTCCAGGATTGGGTAGTCAGGCCACCCAGGTGAGCGTTGACTTGGGTCCCCTTGCTCTCCTGTCCTTTTTACCAGGGGAGTGCCCAGGGTTGTGCAGCCAGCCCATCTCCCTAAGACCTGGAAGTCCCAGAGCTTTTCTCACTGGGAAGGCAAGGATGTCCCAGAATGTCCCAGAATGAGGCAGCCCCGAGCTTCCTCCAAAGGGATGGAGGTTCACACTGGGGGCGGCCACCCCCAAGGAGCCAGGGGCTGTGGTGAGGAGTAGCCAAGTGAGGTGCCAGATTCAGTTCTCTAAGACAGGAAGAGTCTCTGCTTGAGAGGGAAGTCAGGTGGAGGCCCTCACACCCCAACTCTGCCCCTTCCACCTCTGACCCAGCTTGTCCACAGGGATTCAGAGGGCCAGGGTCCTGGATTGCAAAGCGGACTTGGGTTAGGCCAAAAAAGAGCTGGCCATGAGAACGTCCTGATGGCCCTGGGTGCAGCAGGGGTGTTGCCAAGAGGAGAGGGGTGCAGAGTCCCCACCTTGTAAAGGGACCACTGTCCCGTCTCCCTGGTAGGGCTGTCCAGAAGCTCAACCAGCCCTAGTCTGTAAAACACCACTCATCCCAGGGCCAGACGAGTCACACCTGGGAAGTAGCTGCTCTTAAGACTGATCTTCACCTCCGGACCCACCATGTCCCTCTGAGCTGGCCCCCGGGAAGCAGGTCAGGAGCCTGATGTCCCATCAGGCAGAGTTCCCACTCTCCTGGGACAGGCTAGGCTGAGCAATTGCCTGCCCTTTGCCCCCACCCCCCACCCCCGAGGTCGGCTTCATCTGCAGTGACAGACATACCCTGTGGCCTGGGACTCTTTATTTTCAGGAATGTCAGAAACTGTTACAAAGCTGCCCC